ACCTGCCTTCACCCTGAGTCAGCTGGGATAGGCTCCGCCCCCCCGCGATTAAGCGGTGTAGAGATAATGGATGGAATATCAGTTTATTAAAAATCTGAAGCGTAAAATAAGTGACTGCATAAATGTTCTCCTCCAGTCAGCGTTCAGCAGATGGCTTTTCAATAATGAGTTCTTGGAGGGTTCTTCAGTCTTCATGGTGTGGTTCTATCCAGGAGTTCTGATCCACCAGTGACTGGACCTTCCAGATACAGGAGTCTCTACACTATAATCACTGAGACACATTCACTGACCTCAGATGATGCATTCACTGACTGTGGGATTTCTAGCAGTGACTGGCTGTAGCTTGGTTACACTGGAGTCGCTTTAAAGGAGGTGAATACTGATGTAGTCACTCATTTTATATTAGTAGTTATTTAACATCACTTTGTAGAAGTCTGTTTTCACTTTGACATGACAGTGCCTTTCAAAAAGCCAGAGAAGCTGACCATAGGGAACTGTTGAAAAGCAGTAGAAGGGTGAAACCTTCCAGGAGGTGAATACTTTGTAGGCTCTATAACCATCTACCATCCTCAGACTGAGAGAACCAGAACCAGCAGTCAGCCACGTCAGTCTCCGGTTGGGACCGAGCAACGGGATGCCAGACGTGTTGAACTTGTTGATAACCTGGTGTTCCTCCCCCTCAGAGACTTCCTGCCTCGGGGCTCCGGAATCGTCACTCGGCGCCCCCTGGTGCTGCAGCTCATCAACTGTTCAACAGGTGAGACTCACTGCTGACACACAGGTATCCAAGGTAACGCCCAAGCTGACCGTGTGTACTAATGTGTGTTGATCTAATATTGATCTGATGGTGTGTATTGATCAGAGTATGCAGAGTTCCTGCACTGTAAAGGGAAGAAGTTCACAGACTTTGATGAAGTTCGTCAGGAGATCGAAGCTGAAACGGATCGGGTGACGGGACAGAACAAAGGAATCAGTCCAGTTCCCATCAACCTGAGGGTGTATTCTCCCAACGGTACCACACACACACACACACACACACACACACACACAGTGTCACAGCTGTTGTTGTTCACCCTCAGACTCCAGCAGCTGCAGATGTTTGTGTTCTGTCAAAAACATTCAGATCCATATTGTCCCTTTCAGCTTCATGTGTCTCAGGTTTCCATACTGAGACTCTGTTTATCTGCAGCTGAACTCTGGGTCTTTAGAATTCCAGCTCCACATTTCTTTAATTCAGCTCAGCAGATCTGCTCCGTCCGTTTTAGATTCTTAGGTGAGGTTTGAACTGGTTGCTGTGGAATCTGTCACAGAGCGACTGATTCAACAGCTGTCAGTAGATCCTGACTCTGTCCTGTTTGTTCATCAGTCCTGAACCTGACGCTGGTGGATCTTCCTGGGATGACGAAGGTTCCGGTGGGCGACCAGCCGGCCGACATCGAGCACCAGATCAGGGACATGCTCATGCAGTTTGTCACCAAAGACAACTGCCTCCTACTGGCTGTTTCTCCGGCCAACTCTGACCTCGCCAACTCTGATGCTCTAAAGATCGCCAAAGAAGTCGACCCTCAAGGTTCGAGTCCTGCACACCTGCACCTGCATCCCCCTACAGTCAGGAACTAGTGGTGGGACGCCACTGAAAAGATTAATCTAATTAATTAGAGGCTATGTCAATAAATAATCTCGATTAATCGCATTTTAATTGCAGAGCAACATTTGACACAATCAGCAAAGTTTTTCAATTCAAATGAATTTTGGTTGACGACTGAATCAATGAATGGACAAATACGTGAAACAACAATGTCAGTTTTCATCCATATTTATCTGCATTTCTCGTCTGTCTGGTACAGTCACAGATTAGTGCAAACTCAAAGTGCAGTCTGTATGAGGACTGTCCTCGCTCACGTTAGCTCTGGTGTCTGCGCTGAGACGATGCTGTCGGCCGAAGTGCTTCAGTGATCAGAAAACTCTTTGCTGCACCATTGACCTCGCGACCATACGACCATGTGACCACGTGACCACGTGACCATACGACCATGTGACCAC